TCCAATCAACTCTCCCTAAGTGTCAGTAAGACACTTACAAATTCTTTAGAAAATGAATCAATGAATTGTTAAGAAAATGACCAAGCTTCTCAAAGTCCCAGGGATCAAAATGTTAGAGGCGGCACCTTTTCACCTGCCTGATGGCTCTCTGGGCCTCTTAGTGTAATACCAAGGGCCCTACCTCACCTCATTGGGTGCTACAGTTCTCTTCTGTTTCTTGTCTGCCTCTGGGTTTGCTTCCCTCCGGTGCAGGCTATAGTGTAATTTCCTAAAGTGGCCTCCCATCCCCGCACACTCCTCCACCCTATTCTCCCAGCACCAGAGTGGGCAACTCTATTTTCCTTCTTTTTGCCCTCAGGAAAAAGTCAGATCTCCCTAATCTGGCCCTCCAAGGCTTGTCTGCATTCCAGAATTTCCAGGTAAACTCTGCCAGCCAGCCAATCAGCCTGACATGTACCAGAAACACTCTGCCTTCCATTAATGGCTCAAGAAATGCCCTGGCTTACTTTTCCCTCCTGCCTCAGTCTTTTGCTTTCTTCAAGGTCCATTAAAGCATCCCATCTTCTTCCATCTTTCCCTGGGCTCTGCACATACCTCAGCATCTGGGAGAACATGGGCATCATGCTTGGATCTCCCCAACAAGATAGGAAGCTCAGAGGTTTCTTCAGAGGCCAGACAAGTCCATATAAATCGGGGGTAATGGCTCTGTACCCTTTCACTTGTCTGGATGCCCCCGTGACTTCCCTCCTTTTTCATTCCTGGTCATCTTTTATATTAGGTGTGGCTAAATATGTCTACTTTTTCTCACATAAATATGTATTTGATACTTATAGACAGCTATTTTAAAAAAAACTATGCACAGAATTATACTGCCAATGAAGTAAAATCCTGTCTATATACTAATACGTCTCCTAGTTATATGTGTCAATGCCCAGTTATAGGAATCCGTATTTATATGGGGATTTCTTGGAATATCAGAGTTGAGAAAGACTTTGGGGTCTTTTGCTTCATTACCTCATTTAAAGATGGGTACCTGAGGAACAAGAGGCACATGAGGAAACAGGTTTAGGGTTTAGGTTAAGTTCAGAGACCTAACCTCTTGCTTCTTGGGCCATGGCTCTATCACATCATGTGCAACATCTATCTTCACAGAAGCTGTACACACAAACACACACACATTTGTATGTGCATATACCACTGAATTCTCTCTAGTAGACACCAGACTGCACTAATTTCTCAGACACAGCTCCTCAGAGAGGTATGATGACAGAACGACCTTTGTGCCTTTGGGTCCCTCTCTGATGTGTATAGATTTGACCTGGACCATCACCTTGAATATATGCCCTCCCTTCAAGCCCTGCCTCCAGTGCCTGCAGACTGGAGCCCCATAGCTGAGCTGTCCTCTTTCTGAGAAAGAGAAGCTGTAAGGACTGACAATTATCTTCCTGCAATAAATGAGATGAGCAGTTGGGGTGCCTGGGTGGCTCAGTCGGTTAGGCATCCGACTTCAGCTAAGTTCATGATCTTACAGTTTGTGGGTTTGAGCCCCGCATTGGGCTCTGTGCTGACAGCTAGCTCAGAGCCTGGAGCCTGTTTCAGATTCTGTGTCTCCCTCTCTCCCTGACCCTCCCCTGCTCACACAGTATCTGTATCTCTCTCTCTCTCTCTCTCTCTCAGAAATAAATAAAACATTAAAAAAATTTTTAATGAGATGAGCAGAAGCAGCCACAGGCCCTCTACAGTCAGGCCCACACAGAGAAGAATCTGCTACAGGCCTAAAATAGGGAGCAAAGGTCAGCTGTCACTCAGGAATGAGGCCAGAAGGAAAGCCGGCGCATCCAGAGGTTCAGCACCTGCTCCTGCCTGGAGGCAGAGGGGGCACAGCTGGCCTGGCCCTTCTGCCCCTTGAAGGCTATCAGTGCTGGCTTCCACGCCAGTACCAACCTGCCAGTATCTGGGGTGAAGCACTAAACAATTTTGAGAAGGTCCAGGACCACAAGCCAGGCTTCTCCAGGAGTACCCAGTGTCTCCACTGCTCCAGCCCTCCTCTGCAATGGTCACCTGGACCAATACAGCTTTTTAGAGGCAGCCCCTTCCCCCAGACCTTAAAATGCCAACAAAGCCCATAAGCATTCCTACCCTTCATCCCCTTGCTTACCTCTTCTCCCAGATGCTGTCCTTCCCATCCTACCCTGGGAGTGGCCATGGTAGCCTCTACCCTTGCACCAGATTGGCCCCAATATACCAGCGTTTTCCACTTCTATCCCCTCCACTACTTTTCCTGGATTCTGTTCCCTGTACCAAAATGAATGGCATGTGATTTTTCAGGTTTCCAGCCAAACTTGCCATTCTTTCCTCTTCTTTCTCCACTAACAATCCCAAGGACATCGCATAGATTAAATACATCAATACCATAAAGCCACATGTGTCTACCAGAATGGACACCTTCAACTCACATCTCATCTCACAAGGTGCTTCTTGTGAATCTTTTTAATTGCCACAACTGTTCCTAACAATCAAAGAACCAGTCAACTACAAGGTATTTTCTGAGAATTTTGGCATCCTTCTGAAGTCCTAGTGGCGATACTATGGAGAATCTTTTCTATCTCATTCTCTACGTAGACAGAGCTTGAAAGTAAGGCAGACACATTACCCCACTTTGGAGATTTGAGAAATAAGGCCCAGTTACATTTCCAGAATAGTGCTTGGCATGCAAAAATTGTTATTGAAGAATATCTTTGGTTAGATGAATGTGTACAGTAGTGAATGACTCAGTGGTGCAGAAGGAAGAAAGCACGCTAAGTGGGATGCTCACCATTAAGAGGGCACTCAAGTTCCTCTCATCTTCACTCTGTGACCTTTTGTTAGGGTATCTTTCTCACATCCAGCAGAATGCACTGTTCTGAAGTCAACGTTTTCCCTTTCCTACTTCTCCCTGCCTCTCCTGCTCTCACACTCCTGGGATGGGCAGCCTTGGGTAGAATCAAGCTAGAAAAGGACCCTGGTTAACCTAGCATGCAGCCCATGTGAGCTGGCAGAACTGAGCAAGGGAACAATTCCTCTTGACCCCAGGCCCACTGTTTGCCCAGTCTGTGGGCTTTCAGCCTCCCTCACCTGGTCTTCTGTCTCTCTCTAATTCCTTCCAGTGAGATTTGTGTTCATGCCTGGACTATACTGGAAAGTAAAGAAGAGAACATTTAATAAAAATTACCTCATTTCATAGAGTAAGCTGCTGAGCAAGAGTCTATTAGTTTCCTGAGCCCAGATGAGTATATTGGTCAGTTAACTTGCTACATTTCTTATAATCTATATTAATAGGAGCCTACAATATATTTTATGATATTAAAATCAATACAGACACATGCACATATTTTAAGTTTCTAGGAAAATTCTATATCATCAGAAGAAAGCAAAAGAGAAAAAACTAACCCCCCTCTCTCATTTATTTTATATTCCATGCTAGGGGAAGCTGGAGGGCCCCCACCCGCCACCCCATGCTCTAGGTCATAGTCCTGGCCCAATAGTGAGAAGAGGAAGGAGATGGCATGTTTCAATGCTGCTTTATGAATTTTCACCAATTTATGGAATTCATCATGTGCTCACTTGCTGACCCCTCTTCTTATCACCATAAAGGAGCACAACACCCTTTTGTTTGTAAAGGGCCAACATCTAGCAAAGACCCTTGACCAATGATGGGAGCGTGTACAGGGAGGGCAGTGCCCAAAGCTGCAGGATAATTCGAGAGGATGGGCCAGAGCATCTCCTAAATCTGCGGGAGGAGTTTTACCCATTTTGTGGAATGTGATAGAAAAAGAGGATAAAAGCAAGCTCTAGCTTCAGAGACCGAAGCGCTTACAAAGCTTTCACAAGACTTGCCCAACTCTCTCTGGGTTCTCTGGCATCTAGCTATTGTGGTTCCAGTTTTACAGACAGAGAAATGGAAGCTTTGAGAAAGCACCTCACCTGCAGGGGTTCTAAAAGGCAGGCTCTGAAGGTGAGGACCTCTGTGACATCCACACTAAGTTCAGTCTGCCTGAGCACTGTGTGAGCAGCCATGGGTCTGCTGCCTTGGAGCTCAGAGGGTGGGCACTCTGGGATCAACAGCTTCCTGACTCTGAGACCTGAGGCAAGTAACTGGGGGTCTCTGAGCCTCATCTTATACATCTGGAAAATGGGGGTAATAACATCTCCATTGTGATTGTGGGGAGGATTTAGTAAACAATATGTGTCAAACACTTGGCAAAGTTCCCGGCTACTCAAAGCACCAAAACAGTAGACGTCGTTATGACCAGGAAAGCAGCCTGCACAGCTTTTCTCTGTGATTCAGGTTTTCCATAAAAGATGGGTCTCCTAGGCCTCTAATGGGCAGTTCATATTCTCCAGCAAGAAATCAGAAAACATAAGAGGCTAGACACCAAAGACTCTTTAAGAAAACCTCAGCAAGTTCTTCTGAGGTTAAGCAACTAGTAGGATCTTGTGTGACTTAGGGGATGAGACAGAAACAGGAAGAAAGACTTTTGTTAGCGTTGGTTTTAATGTTTTTTCTCTGTTTTGTTATTGTTTTTTTTCCCTCCCCCTGCCAAAGGATTAACGTGTAGGTTCTTAAACAAGGGGGTTCCCTATTTACAGCTGACAGCGGCAGCTGCAACCCCTGATTCTGCTGCAGAATGGCAGGGAATCGAATCAAAAAGAAAAGCAAGTGGACAACCTTTCCTCCGGGAGCACGAAACACAATACCAGCCTTTCGCCAAACCCAGCAGACCCCAGCTCTGATTGGAGGTTGCCTCGGAACAAAGGGAAATTGGTATTTAAAAAAAAAATCTTCTGAAAGCCAACTCAGCAGATGGTTTTTTCCTGGGCTCCAGGAGAAGGGGAGGGGGGGAGCGGGGAGGGGAAGGATACTGGGATTACACAACTGCCACCAGGATACAGATGACTGAGAAGTGACAAAGATGGGCAAAGAGGGCTGACCTCTCACCCCGGAATTTCACAAAGGGCAATTACACCATGTGGCGGGTATCTGGACGAGGCTGCTGACCGCTTCCAACCCGCAGCTGCTGTTCATCACAGCCACGTCTGGGGCCTTTATTCAAAGCAGGGGAAGAAAGACGCCAGGCGCTGAGGGGATATTGGAGGAAGCCATGGAAAAAGTTTAATTAGAGACTATAGTTTGTTAGAAATTGACTACAGGGCAGTTGCACAGAAGAGCACCTCATATTTCCACTGCACTTTTAACATTTCAGAACCATTTGTTCAGATTATCTTCAAAGTGATGCGAAAGGAAGAGACAGTATTAATCCCTTTTTAAATATGAGGAAACAAGGATTCATTCACTAAAGGCGGAACAGGGGTTCGGACCCAGAATCCCTGGTGTAGGGTAGCCACCCCCCTTGTGTTTCTCAGACCAGACGGTGCTCCCGGTGTCCTGTTTGGGAGGGGCTCTTTGTGAATCCCACACTTTTGGCCTGAACCAGGACACTTTAGAGAACATTGTAAATAGCTTCTAGATTACGTCACAGTGAGCCTATTATCCCATAGTCCTGTGCTGTGTTGCCAGCCATCACTGTCTACCACCAACTCACTGCTGGGGTGCCCTGATGAGTGTCTTTCAGTGGGGAGACGACTGTGGGCAGTGGATAAAGCGGCTGTCAGTCTCTGGGAAGATGCCACAATGCCCAGGTTCACCCACAGCCAGTCCACGGCTGTGCAGCAGGAGCAAGCAGGGGGATGGCACAAGACTCAGTGATTCTCTCCTGGAGGCTGTCTCAGCAGGACCCGCCACAGTGCATCTTTCAATGATCGCTTCCTGCTGCTGGAAACCATGAGACCTGAGGGCCGGAGGAGAGTGTGAGGGTTCCCTCACCCCCACCCCATAATTACCTGTAACTTCAAGGCAAGCCATTTAAAGGCTTTCCAAGCCCCTTCCTCAGTCTCTAAAACAGGAAAGAACAAAAGCTACTACACTGAACTATTCTAAGGAACAAACTGGAAAGAAGCAACAGTTGAGCGGAAGTGAACACTTTGTAAGGGTGCTGGGCAGGTGTGATGGTTGCTACCAATTTTTCATACTCTGCACTATCTGGAACATGTATTTTAACAGTTGGTTATACGTACTGTCCTGGGCTTTTCCCCTAAATGCCCTGAGATTGATTCTTTCTAATAACTATCTTTCTATACCCCACACAGCACTTACATACAATTCTGTAGATTCACGTAGAATTTAGACATCTCAGCTCTGCTGTGGTGTATCTGGATGAGTGCACAAAAATAGGCAGCATGATGAAAGATTTAAAGTGTTTCTTTTTTTTAATTTTTTAAAAAAATTATTTCTGAGAGAGAGAGAGACAGTGTGAGCAGGGGAGGGTCAGAGAGAGAGGGAGACACAGAATCTGAAACAGGCTCCAAGCTCTAAGCTGGCTGTCAGCACAGAGCCCGATGCAGGGTTCAAACCCACAAACTGTAAGATCATGACCTGAGCCAAAGCCGGACATTTAACCGATTGAGCCACCCAGGTGCCCCATGATTCAAGATGTTTCTAAGGAACCAATGCAAAATACACAGGGCTAACTAGGGAGAAGGTGATTTGGTAGAAAAGAGTGTCTTCCATAGAATTATCTTCATTGGCACAGAGCTAACGTGAACTTGTTTAACATCCAGGCTGGGGAAATAAAATAAGTGAATATTATATTAAAAGATATAACACCTGTCCTCAGAGAGCTTATGCAGTAACTGAGAAGAAAATACCCTTTTGACAGCACACTTAACAACCCTTTCCATTAGAAACAAGAAGGCTATTCTGTAAATGAGAAAGCATGTTCACAGATGGTGGAGACATCTAGAGATATCCCACCAAAGAAAGCATGGAAGGGGCATTCTGAGTGAGATAGCCACCTACATTTCAAAGTTGCCTTACTTCTATGCCTTCTGTGTAGTCCGCAGACCCAGACAAGACTGTCTAACAGTGATTCACATATCTGCCTAGAACTCTGCACGAAGAGATGAGAATAAGGATAATGCAAACACCTGAATTTTGGTCCAAAAAATCCCACTGAACGTAGGATGTGATCATTTAGACCAGCAAGAGTAGCATAAGGCAAAATTAAATTGGAGAGTTTCCTTGACCTTGAATTCAATGTACACCAACAATCTGAGGCTGCCAAAAGGCTGAGACAGCCCAGGGTCCTGTTAGTAGAAGTAGTGTGCTTAGAGCAGAGGAGGTCACAATCCCCTGGTGTTGTGTAAGGCCAGACCACCTTCCAGTCCTGGGTCCTGTACTCTGTTTTGTGAGTACCCACCTCCTTATCTTTGCCTTTTAGGAGAAACAATGACAAACCAGCATCCATAGCATAGGAACCAAGGTAGTTTGGAACCAGGAAACCACGGACTCCAAAGAACAGTTTCAGGAACTGGAAATATTTGAGTTTTAAACGAATGACTTTAGTGCAACATAAAACAAGAGTTCTCCTATACCCAGGGCTGCCTCAAGAGGTACCAAGCCTCTTCCCCAAGGGCCACTGAGCAGCTGCCAAATAACAGATAATTGTCCATGAGGGATTTTGGAAAGTATCTTTTGTTTGTTCAGTAGCGGTGCTAAAGGAAATATTCAAACTTTCAGTCAATTCCACGACTTGGAAGTGTGACCCAACTGTGGACCTCTTCTTTTCTTCTGACCTATAACTGCTGTGGTCGGCCTTCCCCTGTTCCCTGAGCTGGTGCCAAATTCCTGCCTATGTCCTCAATGGATTTAACCCCTAGTCTCAGACCCTTTCTGGATCTCCCAATCTTTATTTCTTCCATGACCCACCAGCATCCAAACGTCAGCATCATGTTAACCTGCCACCCATTCAATGTCAGCAATCCAGTGGGAAGACAGGGACGTTAGGGGCCTAATGGTACAAGGAAGAGCCACACACCCAAATACATTGGTTTTCACCTCCTTGCTCCCTAAAAAAGATAGGGATGGAAACATAGAAATTCCTATTATATGTTAAAAATAGATTCCCTTTAGCTGTACTACTATAAGAAGCCATAAGAAACAACTCCCTTAGAGAGGCAAACCATGAGAGACTCTTGAATGCTGACAAAAACTGAGGACTGATGGATGTGGGGGGGAGGGGGGATGGGCATGGAGGAGGGCACTTGTGGGGATGAGCACTGGGTGTTATGTGGAAACTAATTTGACAATAAACTATTTGTAAAAAAAAAAAAAGAAAAGAAACAACTCCCTTAGGGTGGTTCTCTGGGGGTCTGTTGGGAAAAACTCTGCAATTCCTGAGTTGTGTTCTCATTCACAACACTAAGCCAATGAACCAACTGGCCCAGCATAAAAAGCTGCCCATACTCTTGGGCACATTCATATTTGCAAATGAATACTTCTTATTGGCAAGGCATGGCTGCACACCTTGAGGTCAGTCTGTCTGACTGCTGTCGGTTTGTCTCCCTTCAAGAATTTCCTCCTCCTTCCCTACTTCTGATCCCCCACTGTGAAGCTGGCTAGAAACTCGTGAGAGGCAAAGAAGAAGGTCTGGGGAAAAACACAATAAACAAGGTCTAGAAAATACACTAAAGTAACCTGCATTTGATACTAATGATGATTATCAAATGGTCTCACAGGCCAGGTAGCAAGATGGGAACTGCCTGGACTTCTCAGAGTAAATAAAGGCCTCCATTGTTTCCCCTGATGAGGTCACAGGCTGGTGGGGAGGTGAGGGAAGTTGGCTCGGGGAGGGAGGGGTAGGCAGGAAGGAAAGAAAAAAAAACAAAAAAACAAAACAAAAAAAACCCTGGGACTTCAGAGAGAAATGCATACTCAAGGTATACAAGGAGGCCCCTCTCCTTCACAGGACAAGATCCCCTGGAATACCATGGAAAGCTAGAAGGACTCCTCGAAGTTCTGTAGTCCAAACCTGCCCACAATGCAGAGCTCTGATTGCCATGTTCTGACATGTATGCTCAGACAGTAGCCTCAGCCTGCACAGAGCTCACTGCTTTACCAGCCAGGACATATAATTCAGACTCCTGCACATGCTGGGTGCAACTAGGAGACCACGTGACTATTTGCATGCTGTGTCTGTCTGTATGCCTCCCGGGGACCTGGCTCCACCAAATTTTTGCCCTCCCCACTGCCACTCGGCAACCTATTCCTCTGGCCACTAGTTCTTCTTTCGGGAGGATGGGGTGGTTCCCAGAGCCTCCATGGCCACCTTCTAAATCAGGTCATCCTGAAGACCATCAAAGTTGAAACCCCTTCCTCAAAGCAGTTAGGCCATGTGCAAATTATAACATTGAATTTTTAGCTTATTATCAATAAGCAACACCCCAGCCCACAACACTTCATTGGCTCGTGCTGTTTTCTATACATAATGTAGTCAGGAGACTGAACCAAGGCCTGGGACCCAGAGTCTGAGAACCGCACTGCTACATCCCTTTGCTCTTGGCCTATGCCCTCACCAGGCCCAATGACTTCCTGACCAAAGCCACTCGAGTCTCACACACAAGCAAGGCAGGCGGGGGTCATCCTGGAATGTCCTGGGACATCCTGCATGGCAGTGCTTTGAAGGCAGGACGTTTGAACTTAAAGTTGCAGGAATCAGAAGAATCAAAGGAGCGGGTAGAGCAGAGCCAAAGGGATTGTTTCTCTCACCTTTTATTAAAAATTTTTTAAAAAGGCCATGCCGTGGAAGATCAACCGGAAACGCAGCTCTGAGAGAACTTTTTGAGGATGTGAAATTGCAATGATGGAGAGGAGGGAGATTCTGCAAACACTGACAGCGTGACCAGGAGAGAAGGCAGCACCCACTGAACCCCAATTGGTCGTTCTTATGACACTGCTTTAACACTTTCATTTTGAGTCAAGCTTTGAGCTCAGCAGCAATTCTGGTTTGGTAGATAAATGACCACAGAGATAAAAGACCTTTGAACCATCTCTAAATAAATCCCCACAGCAATCCTCACCACCACCGAAAGAAAGAAAGAAAGAAAGAAAGAAAGAAAGAAAGAAAGAAAGAAAGAAAGAAAGAAAGAAAGAAAGAAAGAATCCCACCAGTGATACTAGTTGATGCGTGTGCAGGCATCAGAAATGAGACAGTGGCACTGCCAGCCACTAACACAATTCAACACAGCCTGTAGCAATACGAAAGCAGAATCAGCCTAGAGAAACCAAGGCTTCTGAGACAACCCACACCCCCCAGGAGCCCATCACCACTGCGAGTCACTGTGAGTCAGCTGTACCTGCATGGAGGATGGTCCTGTGGGTGGCCCAAATACGCTGGATGCTAGCACAGTAATCAGAGTAATGCACACTGAGCAAGGGGCTGTGCTAAGTGTCCACAGGCCTTCTATCCCCTCAAGACACTAACAAGGAGGTGCTGCTATTATCCCTGATTTTCACACAATCAGGACACAGTCTCAGGAGGTTAAGTAACGTGCCTGAGGTGATAACAGAACCCCAGTTCTCTTCCTGTAAAGACAATGAGAACCCAGCCCAGAATACAGGGGATCTGACTTCCAATCCACTCCCAGGGCATGGACTCTTGCTAACAGGTTTCTTATTCCTCACTTCAGGGAATGAAGGGCTCTCCGTCAGAACAGAATACAGATTCTCTGCTTCATTACTCTGCCAGGGTATCTTCAATAGTATGGAGTTCACCAAAAATGTTCCTTGGAGAAGTCCAAAGTTAAACTGACTACCAAGGGAATAGCAAAACCAAGAGGAAAAGAGCCAGCATGGTATGTTAAACCCCTAGAGAATCCAAAATACAGAAGAAAAACACGAGTTTGATAAATCTCACCACTTTTAAATTCAACTCTGACGCTTGCTCCTACAATTGTGGGCCTTTTGACACTGGGGCAGAAAGGAAATAATCTGATGATGGAACAGTGGGTCCAAAGAGAGGTCAAAATTTTTGTTTATAGTAATTAGTTTTGTTAAAGAAAGACTTGCCCCATCTAGCAGAATGGCTCTTAAAGTTTCCAGTTTTTAGAACAGACATAAGGCTGCGGGTATCAGAAGCTGTTTTTAGTTCATCTTTTTTTGCTTTTTGTTTTGTTTTGTTTTTAACATGCAGAAACTGCGATCCAGGAAGGTAAAGCAATCTTGCTGAAATTATTAGTGACAGAGACAGAGCTAGTGCCCAGGGCTCCCGTCCCCAAGTCCAATGTTCTGTCCCTTACACCTTCAGCTCCAGATGTCAAGTGTTACTTGTTGCTCCATGAAGACAAATACTTTGTGGAGAAGGTCATTTACCACC